AATTAAACTACCATGTAATACAGCAATTGCACTATTGGATATATATCCAAAACAAATGAAATCAGAATGAAGAAGCATTTGCACTTCTATGTTGTTTGCAACTCTCTTCACAATAGCCAAAATATAGAATAAACAGTTTAACGTCTATTGAGGAAATAAAGACAATGTTGTATATATACACAACGGAATACTATTTCTCTTTATAAAAGAAATTTCTATTAATTTCAATCACATAGATTAATCTGGAGGACATTATACTAGTTGAAATAAGCCAGACACAGAAAGATTAATATCTCATAATTTCACTTGCACATAGATTCTAAAAAACTTAATCTCACTGAAATAGAGAGTAAAATGGTGATTGCCAGATATCATGGAATTTAGAAGAAAGGGGGGAATCAGAAACATGTCTGCTAAAAAATACATAACTACAGGTGGATAGAAGGAATAAGTCTGAGAGATTTATTGTACAGCATAGTAACTATAGTTCATAATACTGTATTAAATTTTTAAAAAATACTAAGACAGTTTCATGTGATCTCAAAACAAATATGTAACTGTGTTTGGTAAAGAATTGATTACATAGAACTAAGCATTTGACAATGTATGTATACTTCAAAACATCATGTTTTATAAAATAAATATATATTTTATCTGTCAAGTTTAAAAATAGATTTTTAAAACATTATAGGATACCAATATTTCAAATACTGTCTGTGTCTTTGACATAAACTGGCTAAATGGTATCAAAAATATATAGTTTTTGTGCTGTTCTTGTTATTTAATTTGTCAGACATAACCATAGAAATGCTGATATTTAATAGCATTTTCTAGACCCAGGACAGTAAATGGGAGGAGTCAATGTACTTTAGGGCTTTTACTTTAAGCCTCTGGCACCTGGAGTCTCTGGTGCTGATGGTAATGCTATGAAAGACACTAAAAAGGCAGGTGTTGCTTATGGTCCCATTGACTGGCCACTCTGTGAACACAGTAAACAAGTTTGTATGCAAAATAACAGAAAATGTTTTAATCCAAAATCTGCCATGATCTTCAAACTTTTTCCAGAGAAAGTGTTCAAAGAGTTGGCTGCAGTTAGGTGACTAAGGATAAAAACTGTAGACTGAACTTCACCCACTAAAAATTTAAATAGAATAAGAGTGAGAAATTTCTCCAAATTGTAATATCAATATGGAAAAGAAATATTGTTTTAAATTTCAAATCCAGAGATTATTTTACAACATGTAACATTCACACTTAAAAACAGAGCATTCTGCATGGAAACATAAGTTGTGCTCTAAGCGTATCATAGAAAATTAAATTTAGAAATTTTCACTTACCATGTCAACCCTCTTAAAAATCTAATTTTAAATATGCATTTTCTAATAATTTTACCTTTGTCACACTTTGTGTAATAATCTAATAACATTTTCTTTTTACAAACAAAGAAAAACAATGCTAACTGATGTAATCTTACCTTTGGACAGTGTATGCTTATCTCAATTAACTGATCTGAAAGTTACAGTGACAGGCAAATTCTCCATTTAAAACCAATTTTTCAGTGCATTAAAAAATACCAACTGTCTCATCAGAACCCACAAAGTACCATGTAAAATAATGTGGCATGAAGGCAACAGTGAGAAAACTACAGCCCTAACTCAGAAAAAATTTTTTTAAAAAAGGGTTGTGACGCATATATAGTTGGAATATAAATAATAAGAAAAATGAAATTAAAGATAGAATTTCTCTTTAAATTCATCAAGAGTCAGCTTTGTAGCCTGGAAAAAAATATCTACTAAACATAAAGAATTAACGTTGGCCAGGCACAGTGGCTCATGCATGTAATCCTAGCACTTTGGGTGGCTGAGGTGTGTGGATCACTTCAGGTCAGGAGTTTGAGACCAAGTGGCTAACATGGTAAACCCCCACATCTACTGAAAAATACAAAAATTAGCCAGGCATTGTGGCACACACCTGTAGTCTCAGCTACTCAGGAGGCTGAGGCATGAGAATCACTGAACCTGGGAGGAGGAGGCTGCAGTGAGGCCAGATCCTGCCACTGAACTCCAGTCTGGGTGACAGAGCAAGACTTTGGTGTCAAAAAAAAAAAAAAAAAAAAAATCAGTGTTATTGCTTCACCACTGATATATCTATATCTGACTTGAAGTTACAAATTAACTCCAGCAGGAATATTTATGGCTTATCATGGAGACTCTATTACACAGCAAGCATTGTCATGTTTGTTTGATACTTTATGTATAATGTCTTCTTAACTTAATGAAACCTCCCTACTATTCACCTGAACAAATTAGCTCAATCAGAAAATAAATTTACTTATGTTAATTATAAAAAGTGAAAGACACAATAACTAAAAAACAGTAGGCTTATATACAGGTCTCCAATTAAAACAACAAAATGGAATGTTCTAACTAAATGAAATGTAACTTAATACACTAACTGTGAAATTACATCTAACAGTTATTATGTGTGCACTACTACATTTAGTGAAAATCATTCATGTAATTTCTGACCAGCTCACACGATGAATACTCCATACACTATAAAACAACAAAACAAAAAGACAAGAAAGAAGGAAATTGTGGGTCCAGCATGAGTACCAGAGAAGTGAAAGAGAATTTACATGGGGAGATGTTGAAACATAAACCATAAAATTTACAGTAATGAATACAATACAAAGCAGAGTATAGATTTGCTTTCAGCATTTTTGAAGTTTTTAGTTTTCTAGTGAATTAGTCTCCTTAAAAGATTTGTTTCTTCCAATACTGCTTTTTGTTTTCTGAAAATAGATACAAACTTATACTGACACAAATACATTTACTTACTCCATAATTTCCTTATGCCAAAAGTTTATCTTTAAACTAATATATGTGTATGTTTAACTCTATGTAAATCAAAACTAAGTCTATATGTGTTTGCAGGCAGAGAGGCAACATGTTCAAATAAAAATATATAATAAATTAAACAAAATTTATTTGGGACTGGGCACCATGGCTTATGCCTGTAATCCTGGCAACATGGGAGGCCTGGGTGGGTGGATCATATGAGGTCAGGAGCTCAAGACTAGTCTGGCCAACATGGCAAATCCCCATCTCTATTAAAAATGTAAAAATTAGCTCGCAGTGGTGGCAGGCACCTGTATTCCCAGCTACTTGGGAGGCTGAGGCAGGAGAATCACTTGAACTGGGGAGGCGGAGATGGCAGTGAGCTGAGATCACATCACTGCACTCCAGCCTGGGCAACAGAGCAAGACTCTGCCTCAGAAAAATAATTATTTAGGACTCATAAATGTCTGGATTTTATCCATGTATGTAATTTTTGTTATAATCATTAAAATGACCCTATAGGAAATAAAAATTTACTTGTACATTTTAAATGAACTGAAAGTGTATAATTAGATTGTTTTTAATACAGAGGATAAATGCTAGAGGTAATGAGTACCTCACTTACCTTGATGTGATTATTAGATATTACAAGCCTGTATAAAAATGTGCCATAACTGGCGTGAATATTTATACATACTATATGCCACAAAAATTAAGAAAAACAAATTTAAAAACAAAAAAATAATAATTTAACCTACAGGAACAATATTCCTAAGCTTATTTGCACTTTAAAGACACTGGCAAAAGAGATTACTAGAGATGTAAGTTCATTATATTACAAATATATTAGCACATTTTCATGCTGTTGATAAAGACATACCTGAGACTGGGCAATTTACAAGAGAAAGGTTTAATTGGACTTAAAGTTCCATGTGGCTGGGGAAGCCTCACAATCATGGTGGAATGTAAGGAGGAACAAGTCACATGTTACATGGATGGTGGCAGGCAAAGAGAGAAAACTTGTGCAGGGGAACTCCTCTTTTTGAAATCATCAGATCTGGCTAGACTTATTTGCTATTATGAGAACAGCATGGGAAAGACTTGCCCCGTTATTCAATTATCTCCCATGACTCCTTCCCAAAACACGTGGGAATTAAAGATGAGATTTGGGTGGGGACACAGCCAAACCATATCATTCCATTCTGGCCCCTCCCAAATCATATGTTCTCACATTTCAAAACAAATCATGTTTTCCTAACTGTTCCCCAAAGTCTTAACTCACTCCAGCATTAACTCAAAAATCCACAATCCAAAGTCTCTTTGAGACAAGGCTAGTCCCTTCCGCCTATGAGCCCGTAAAATCAAAGGCAGATTACTTCCTGCATACAATGGGATTGCAGGCATTAGGGAAATACAACCATTCAAATGGGAGAAATTTGCCAAAACAAAAGAGCTACAGGCCTCATGCAAGTCTGAAATCCAGCACAGCCATCAAATATTAAGGTTCCAAAATGATCTCCTTTGACTCCGTATCTCATATCCTTGCTGAGGTGGGAAATTAAAGAAAAATAAAATTAAAGAGAAAGAGAAATAAGTTTTCCTGTGTTAGGCTGGCTTGTCCCAGAGGCAGCAACAGGCACAGCCCAGACTCAGAAAAAGTCTTGATAATATTACCTAATGTGCTCTGGAGACTCTCCCAGCACTCCCTCAACATAAGGAGAAGAAAAACACATCTTCCTTTGTTTTATGGAATGAGTTTATAGATTCCTGTTCTCTGTAACCAGTGACTTCAAGTATTCTGTTTGATCTAAGTACAATGAAGGTCATGAGAAGTTTGAGTAGGCCTGAACTATAGCTGCTGGGCACCACAGTGAAGGTAATAAGGTAAGCCCGTGCCCAGGCAAACCTAGATAATGGATATCTGGGTTGCTTGGCAATGGTCATGTGCAATCCTGTCCTTGTCCTGCCTCTGTATCCCTGCTTTCATGCCAATGCAAGCATCTTTCAAGCTAGCCCACCTCCTTTTGTGAAGTGTGTATAAAAGTCAGGTGTTGTCTTTGTTCCAGATCCAGTCATTTGGACATTGAGTCAGCTGCACTCAATAAAGATTCTCCTGTTTCAACCCGAGGTCTTTCTTGTCCTCCTGAATCCCACAACAAGGCCACACTGATGCAAAAGGTGAGTTCTCATGGTCTTGGACAGCTCTGCCCCTGTGTCTTTGCAGGGTACAGCCTCCCTCCTTGCTACTTTCATTGACTGCTATTGAAAGTCTGTGACTTTTCCAGGCACACAATGCAAGCTGTCAGTGGATCTACCATTCCGGGGTCTGGAGGACATTGGCTCTCTTCTTACAGCTCCACTAGGCAGTACCACAGTAGGGATTCAGTGTGGGGGCTCTGACCCATTTCCCTTAAGCATTGCTGTAGCAGAGGTTCTGCATGAGAGCCCTGCCCCTGCAGCAAACTTTGCCTGGATATCCAGGCATTTCCGTACATCTTCTGAAATCAAGGTAGAGGTTCCCAAATCCCAATGCTTGACTTCTGTATACTGGCAGGCTCAACACTAGGTGGAACCTGCCAAGACTTGATGCTTGCACCCTCTGAAGCCATGACTTGAGCTCTATGCTGGCCCCTTTCAGCCATGACTGGAGTTGCTGGGAGGCAGGGCATGAAGTCCCTAGGCTCCAAACAGCTTGAGAACCCTGGACCCAGCCCAAGAAGCCACTTTTTCCTCTTAGGCCTCCAGGCCTGTGATAGGAGACGTGGGGAAAAGAAAGACAGATCAAACTGGAGATTTTTATGTCTTCCTTTTCTACATAGACACAGTAACAATCTGATCTCTCTTTCTCTCCCCCACAGGAGAGGCTGCCATGAAGCTCTGACATGCCCTGGAGACATTTTCTCCATTGTCTTGAAGATTAACATTTGGCTGTTACTTATGCAAATTTATGCAGCCAGCTTGAATTTCTCCTCAGAAAATGGGATCTTCTAGCACATTGTCAATCTGTGAATTTTTCAAACTTTCATGCTCTGCTTCCCTTATAAAACTGAATGCCTTTAACAGCACCCGCGTCACCTCTGGAATGCTTTGCTGCTTAGAAATTTCTTCCATTAGATACCTTAAATTGTGTCTTTCTAGATCACAGGTCCACAAATCTCTAGGGCAGGGGCAAAATGCTGCCAATCTCTTTGTCAAAACATAACAAGAGTCACCTTTGCTCCAGTCCCCAGCAAGTTTCTCATTGACATCTGAGACTACCTCAGCCTGGACCTTATTGTTCATATCACAATCAGCATTTTTGTGAAAGCCATTCAACAAGTCTCTAGGACGTTCCAAACTTTCCCACATTTTCCTGTCTTCTTGGGAGCCCTCCAAACTGTTCCAACCTCTGTTATGCAGTTTCAAAGTCACTTCTACATTTTGGGGCATCTTTTCAGCAGTGACCCACTCTACTGGTAAAAACTTACTGTACCAGTCCATTTTCACACTGCTGATAAAGACATACCCAAGACTGGACAATGAACAAAAGGAAGAAGTTTAATTGGACTTAATTAAACTTAAGGTTCCATGTGGCTGGGGAAGCCTCACAATTATGGTGGAAGGAAAGGAGAAACAAGTCACATCTTACATGGATGGCAGCAGGAAAAGAGAAAACTTGTGCAGGGGAACTCCTCTTTTTAAAACTATTGGATCTTGTGAGACTTATTTCACTATCACAAGAACAACGTGGGAAAGACTTGCACCATGATTCAATAACCTCCCACTGAGTTCCTCCCACAATGCATGGGAATTCAAGATGAAATTTTGGTGGGGAAACAGCCAAACCATATCACCAAATAAGATATCATTACCATCTTTTACCTACATTTTTTAGTGAGGTGGGATAGGTTAAAGTTAGTGGCATAATAATGCTTCTTTGAATGAACAATAGTCTTAACATATTAAAAAATGTTGAATTAAAAAATTAAATTCACATGTAATCTAAAAATTTGAAACTGTACTGCATTCTATTACATAAAAGTACCATTAGGGCTGGGCACAGTGGCTCATGCCTGTAATCTCAGTACTTTGGGAGGCCAAGGCAGCTGGATCACCTGAGGTTAGGAGTTCAAGACCAGCCTGGCCAACATGGTGAAACCCTGTCTCTACTAAAAATGGAAAAATTAGCTGGGCAGGAGGGCAGGTGCCTGTAATCCCAGCTACTCAAGAGGCTGAGGTAGGAGAATCACTTGAACCTGGGAGTCAGAGGTTGCAGCGAGCTGAGACTGCACCACTGAACTCCAGCCTAGGTGACAGAGCAACACTCTATATCAAAAACACATACACACACACACACACACACACACACACACAAAACCCAAACAATTAGTAAAATGATATACCAATAATTAATTACCTTTAATTTAAACTAAAATTAAAAATGTTTTTCTCACTATAAAGCAGAAGAATATTATCCTGAACACCTACCTCATGCATCACTCAATATTATAAGTTAACCACAGAGACCTCTCTATTTGGATTTCCATGATGCATCTTACATTTTAATGTCCTTCCTCTTCCATAGAAAGGGTCATAAAAAATGCCCACTTAATAAGAAATAATTTTTCGTATCTCTGATGCAGTAACAGTAGATCATATGCTCTCACGTGTGTAATTTGAGAGTTGAATACCCTTATTTGCTTTTCAAAAAATCTATAATTTTTTCAAAAAAGTATGCTTTGAATGTAGTAACTCTCCAAAAAATCTTCTACTCCTTTTAAAGTTATATACAAATAATTTATTTAACAACTTTAGTTTTACATAAATTTCTGTACTCAAAACTGATTTTAAGTAGTGTCTGAAGTTTCAATGGCTTATGTATTTCTACTGTGTATTCTGTGACATTCACATCGACTTAATTTTGGATTAAATATGTTTTCAAATGTATTGCATTTGTAAAAATATATTTTAGTATGAGTGATCCTGTGTTTTTTAAGCTTTAGTTTTTGAAAACAATGCTTTCCCAAATTCATTACATTTGCAGGTTTTTTAAATCCCAATATAAACTCCGTCTTGTTGAACAAAATTTGAGCAACTGACTTTAGAGTTTTCCTTTAGTACAAAATGTGGAGAATAAGATCTATGAAACAAACAAAGATACTACAACCCTTTTTATATTTGTAATGTTTGTCTTCAGAATACTCTTCTTCACTTTAAAGGGTTACATTTCCTGAAAGATCTTTTGACAAAAATTGCATTTATAGTGCTTTTATTAAGTACTTACTCTCTGAGGTTGAGAACCCTGTGAGCAGATAATAATGGCTTTCCCACATTCTTTATATTGATATAATTTTCCCCAAGCATAAATGCTTTACTGTGCAGTAAGGTGTAAGCATTTGTAAAAAGTTTTCTCACGTTCTTCACACTTGTAGGAGTTTTCTCCAGTATAAATTATCTCACATACAATCAAGTGTGACAAACGTTTAAAGGCTTTTTCATATTCTTCACATTTCTAGGGTTCCTCACTGTTATTATTTCTTTTATGTTTAGAAAAGTTTGAGGTGTTGTCAAAAGCATTGTACCAATTCCCAGGTTTGTAGAGTTTCTCTGTGGTATGAATGATCTTATGTCTGTTAAGAATTGAGGACTTGTTATAGGCTTTGCCACATTCTTCACATTGTAAGGTTTCTCTCCAGTATGAATTATCTTATGTTTAGTAAGGGTTAAGGACCATTTAAATCCTTGACCACATTTGCACATTTGTAGGGTTTTTTCCCAGTGTAAATTACCTTATGTTCAGTAAAAATTGAGAATACTCAAAAGACTTTGTCACATTTTTCTCATTTGTAGGGTTTCTCTCTGGTATGAATTTTCTTATGCCTAGTAAGGTGTGAGGAACAGTTAAAAGGTTTGTTACATTTTTCACACTTGTAGAATTTCTCTCCAGAATTCTCTTATGTTTAGTAGGAACTGATGACCACATAAAGCTTTTGCCACCTTCATTACATTTGTAGGGTTTCTCTGCAGTATGAATTCTTTTATGTTCAGTAAAAGTTGAGAATAAACTAAAGTCTTTGCCACATTCTTCACATTTGTAGGGTTTCTCTCCAGTATGAATTCTCTTATGCATAATAAGGTTTGAAGGCTGGTTGAAGGCTTTGCCACATTCTTCACATTTGTAGGGTTTCTCTCCAGTATGAATTATCTTATGTCTAGTTAGGTGTGGGGAATGATTAAAAGCTTTGCCACATTCTTCACATTTATATGGTTTCTCTCCAGTACGAATTCTTTTATGTCTAGTCAGGGTTGAGGACCAGTAATGCTTTGCCACATTCATGACATTTATAGGGTTTCTTCCCAGTATGAGTTATATTATGTCTAGTGTAAGTTGAGAACCAGTTAAAGGTATTTCCACATTCATCACATTTGTGGGGTTTCTCCCCATTATGAATTCTCTTATGTTTAGTAAGATCTGAGGGCTGGTAAAATGTTTTGCCACGTTCTTCACATTTGAAGCGTTTCTCTCCAGTATGAATTCTCTTATGTTTAGTAAGATTTGAGGACTGGTTAAAGGCTTTGCCATATTCTTCACATTTGTATGAACTCTCCCCAGTATGAATTCTCTCATGCTTAGTAAGGCTTGAGGACCAGTTAAAGGCTTTGCCACAAACTTTACATTTGTAGAACTTCTTTCTAGTATGAGTTTTCCTATGCTGATTTAGTTGTGAAAGCATTCAGAATGATTTGCCACATTCTTTGCATTTGAAAAGTTTCTTTCTAGTATGTCTTATCTTATGTCTATTTGAATTTAAAAATTTGTGAAAGACTTTTACATATCTATTACATTGAAATGTGTTACTCTGGGTAGTTGTTAAACATTGGTTAATTTCATTATAATGTCTTTTGTGTACCTTACACTCATCCACACTTTTACAGCCTTTCCTTAATTGTAAATTCTCATGTCCACATTTTTCATATCTTCTCAGTATCTTCTTTTGGAAAGAATCCTTTATGTCTCTGGCCAAAGAAGTTGAGGAAAATGAGAACACATAACTGAAAGAAATAAGAAAAACCAAATTACTCCACTTACTAGACTCAAATATACATTACAAATCTAACCTCTAAGATTATAGAAACCACAAAAGCAAGATGGCACAGCAAAATACCACAGACTCAAATTTCTTCAGAGACATATAAATGTAACAAAAACATCCAGACCAAAATACTTTTGTGAAAAATATAATGAGATAAGTGTGTGCTGTGCTCCAGGTGAGAACAATGCAAAGAGCCACAAAAAAAAGAAGAAAAAAATCTATTACATTTAAACAACACAGCTCTTCCTGCTCCCCAGTATAACATAGTGCCTTTGGAAATAAATTGCCAACTCTTTTTTTTTTTTTTGAGATGGAGTCCCGCTCCATCATTCAGGCTGAAATGCAGTGGCATGACTTTGGCTCACTGCAACTTTCACCTTTCAGGTTCAAGCGATTTTCCTGCCTCAGCCTCCTGAGTGGCTGGGATTACAAGCACCCACCACCACATTCAGCTAATTTTTGTATTTTTAGTAGAGATGGGGTTTCACCATGTTGGCCAGGCTGGTCTCAAATTTCTGACTTCAAGTGATCCACCCACCTCAGCCTCCCAAAGTGGTGGGATTAAAGGTATGAGCCACTGCTCCTGGTCTCCTGGTTTCTTTTTTAGAAGAGAAGAAAAACAGTGTCACATACATCTTTCTTTCTGGCTTCTAGGGGCCTTTTCAGACACTGGTTTCTGTCTTCCATGATATAAAATGCTGAAAAAAATGGTAATATAATTTACAATGACAGTTTGAGTCTGCTGAGACCAAAGGTAAATATTACAGCAGCCAGAGAGACTCCAGTACCACAGATAGGAAGCAGGTGTAGCGAGTGATTACTGACTATTAAGAAGGAACATGAATAAACTCCTTTATGAAAAAACAAAAAAGTTTGACAAGACACATCTTAAGAACATGTTTGAGAGACTCCCAGGATCTCTAGCCAAGATAATTGGTTTCAGACTATGCCAGGACAAAGCTGCATTTTAAAGATTGGGAAACAGAG